TTTTATTAGCGAGAAGATTGTTGACCGTGGTTGAAAGATATTAAATCATGGTTGGTTGGGGGTGGGTGTATGGTCAACGAGTGGAGGGAACAATGGAGCATTCAAAAAAAACAGAATAAAAAAAAGAAAAAAGAAAAACCCTCCAAAATCCCATAAAACAGACACTACCATTTCCACCACCTCGTATTCAAAAAAAAAAAAACCCCACCCACAGCGCTTATTCCGGTCCCCTGCATTACATATGTATGTATGTATGCATGTGTATGGTGTCATTCAAATCCACTGTTTAATTAATCTGCTTTCTCTCTCTCTGCTTGGGAGTGAGTGAAACCATAAGAATTGCAGTAGAGAGATCAGAAGAGAAGAAGATGGAGTATATGTATGTATGTATAGTCGTCTACTCTTAGCTTTTCCATCTTATTATCTCTTTCTTTCTTTCTTTCTTTCTTGGTGTATATATATATATACACACACACACACCAATGGGTAGACAGTGGTTCAGCTGGGGCGGCGGCGGGGGAAGATCGTCTTCCTCCGGCAAGAAAACGAGAGAATCCCCAAGAAAACCGCCGCCGGCGAACACCACCGCCGGGTGCATGTGTGCGGTTCTCCAAATCTTCGACTTGCCTCCCCACCGCTCCCTCTCCTCTTTCCTCCAACAACAAGACGACAATTTTGAACCAACCCCTAAAGGTACGTAATAAGTTTTCGTCTCTTTGGTTGTAAAAGACTTTTTTTTTTTGACATTAATCTATAATTAATTATAGATTGGTACGTATGATTGGATAATGCAGGGGTTGAAGCGCCAAGAAACAGCTTAGAGGTGGAGGAGATAATGGTGTTGAAGCCTGCAAATGTGGCCATCAAACCAAAGGGACATGAAACAAAAATTTTGAATAATGTCTCTGTAAGTGACCGTTGCTTCTTTTTTTCTTCTTTCTTAATTTTATCCCAAGATGAATCATGAATTATTGAAACTCTGCAAATGTTTGGGGCACCTAGTATGGGCCAGGAGGCTAAAGACAAATTCAAGAATCTTTCTTTTTTTTTACTTACTTTGATTATTCTGGAATGGAATTAATTATTGTTTTGCTGGAGTTGAAATTATGGGAATTGAAAGATTTGATTTTTTTTGGAAGGTGGGGATTAATCAGATCAGGACGAGCTGCGAATTTTCGTCGTCGGAGTGCAGCTCGTCGTCGCCGGGAGGAGCTCGGACGCCGAATCTGGTGGCGAGACTGATGGGGCTCGACCTTCTGCCGGAGAATAACAACAATGGCTCCTCCCCTGCTTCCACATTGTCGTCTTCTTCGAGGCTGGACAGAGCCCGCTACCTCCTCCACCGTTCGGGGACTCTGTCTCTGCCGGAGACGCCGCGAGTGTCGATGAATAGGAAGTCGGACGTGGAGATTTACCACCGCAACCGCCACCAGCAGCACCACCACAGGCTGTCTCTTCAGATCAATAAAGAGAATGTGGGGATGGGTAGTGAAGACGATGAAGCATCTAAAAGGGTGAAAAGAATTGTGAAGCATTTGAAAGAGAGTAGAAAATTTGGCCAAGACATAACGAACACGGCGGCCGGAGAACACCGCCGGAAAGATAGCTTTCTTGATACTTGTACTCAGGTCGTCTTGCTCAAACCGAATAGACCATCCGCGGGGAAGGTAGCAGCGAACGGCGAATTTGCCCACGCCAAGAATCACTCTCCGATGTCATTGTCGTCCCCAAAAACAGAGGACCCTCTCGTCAAACAGCCTCAAAAAACCATTCCTAAGCCAAAATGTCATCATCAAGAAATTCCCAACGCAATCACAAATTCATACAAAAACACTCGCCAAAGAAAACCGCCGCCGCAGAAGGAAGAAACGTTCGTCCGGCCGGCGGCAAACACAGCCCAAGAGAACAAGAAGGGTGTGAAGAGAGCAACTCCACTGTCAAATCCCAACAATGTTCCGACCATATTGCCGGCGGTAATGAGGAAAGATCGACGACCGTCGCCGGCGCCGGAAAAATCTGTTCAAAAGCTGGTATGTGTATATCCTATAGTCCGTAAACAGAGCACCCACAGTCATTCTAACGATTCTTTCTTGTTTTGTGACATGATTACATCCTATTTTAATGTGGATTGAGCAGGAAAAGGCCGTCCTTTTTGTACAAAAAAGTGGCTCTCTGTTATCTAGTTCTCCGAGCCTAACGTACAAATCCCCTGCTGCAACCACCGCCGCGCCGCCGCTGGAATTGGAGTACATACAGAGAGTACTTAAACGTGCGGGGATCGAAAAAGAAACGCCGGTGACCTCGTCAAAATGTCATTCCTATTCCCACCCATTAAATCCTTCCATTTTCCACTACATGGAACTCTTCCACCACTCCACCCTGAAGCGCCGGAGCGACAGAAAGTTGATCTTCCATCTGGCCGACGAGCTACTCGCCGGAATCTTGAAATCACGGCGGGGATCCATGAACGGGTCGGACCTGGCGGAAGCACTCTGTTTTAAAATCCGGGAACTGCCCTCCAGAGAATGCCACGTGTTGGAAGACATAGACGCATTGATCGACGGGGACTTGAAGAAATCCGATGAGAATGAGAGGGATGAAGAAGTAGAGGGTATGGTGGGGGAGATTGAACGTTACCTGGTGGAGGCGCTGGTGGGAGAGACGGCGGCGGCGGTCCTGGAGGTGGCGCGGCCGTACCGGGGGAGGAGGAGGAGAGAGGGTGGGTTTGTGTCACAGGCTCTGACTTTCTGACGAAGGTCACATGGGTCATTCCCCGTGATTAGATGCCACTGTGGGCCCACTACGGTTTTGTGGGGTACACGTGTCGCGAACCCACATTCGTTGGACGTTTTTATCACTCGCTCTTTTTATTTTTGTAAATTAGTTTTAACTAGTTCTTTTAGGGGAAGTTTTTAACTTGTTATTTGCATGAATATTCAATTCTTATGTAAAAATAAATTTATAAATTTGATGTTTTTAATGAAAAGTTGGCATTCGAGGTGTATTAGTAATTAAAATATGTATCAAAGTTATCCCGTTAACTTCACTAATTTTTATTCTTGTTAATAAACTTAAATTGAAATAATACTATTCATATTGATCAAGCCTTCTAAGTGACGCAGAACTTGACTTATCTTGTTTCAACCCTTGGTATTACTCTTCATATAGTTTTTAAATATATAAATTTTATTAAATAATTTTATCTCAAGTAAATTAAATTTAAAAAAAAGTTGGTCAAACTTCAAAAAGAATGTTTTAGGACGGAAGGAATTTCATTTTATACTTTTATATGTAGTAAATTTTTCTAAGTAAAAAATTCAAAATACTCTAGTATTAATTGAAAATTTTAGACTATTTTTATACACTAAAATTAATAACTATGGATTAATCACAAAAAGGATAGATATATGAACGATATAGAAATTTTTGTTTTCGTAAAAATGGGTTGAAAGTGGATTTGTAAAATGAACGAATAATTTTGATTTGATGATTTGTATTTGAAATGAATGATTCATATTCAAAAAATGAATACGAACAAAAATATAAATATTTATTAGAATTCGAAAGAAAATAAGTACAAATACGAATGTATATGCATTCGATTCGTTATGCTAACGAATATCTTTGAAGATAAATATAAACATTTATAATGAGTATGCTGCTTCATAATATTTACAAAAACATGAAAAAGTATAATATATAGAGCACTGCATTTTTTTGTTTTTTAGTGCACTATTCCTTACTTGATACGGAGTACTCCAGAGTATATTTTGCTTTTGGGCGCCATATAAAAAAAATACTTAAATAATTTCAAACGAATGTGTAAATATGAATCAAAACATGGAATCGTGGATAAGAATGCCTATACAATAAGTTCATATTCCATAAAACCTAACCACTACTTCACTACAAGAGCAGTACATCTCGTCATTTCTTTCTATTTTTAAGTAAAAGTTAAGCACTTCGATTAATAGTCATGCAACTGAGAAGTCTCTTCGTACCCTCAGATGCTACAGTTCTCAAAATTTGAAGCTCCTCTTCGTACCCTCAGATGCTACAGTTCTCAAAATTCGAATACGAATTGAATATTTAAATTTAATAAAGAATCTGATGGTCAAAAACCATTGAATAGGCTAACCGAGGGGTCGGGTAAAACGAGTAAACAAAGTGTTGAGAATAGAGAACAAGAAAATACTAGACTAGGAGTGTTATTAGCTTGATTTTGGATCCCTCTACAATACATGGCCAAGGAATATTTATAGCAATATTAGTTACGATGGTAATAACCATGATTGACACTTATATGTCGTCTAGCTATTGTCGCCTAGCTATTGTCATCGACATGTGGAACCCCAATGGCAACGCGTGACATTCCTTTGTCGCATAGTCCTTGTTGTTTGCTCTTGAAGCCTTGTAGGTGTGCTGCTATTCCTGTTCTGATATGACCACATGGCAAGACTATGGTCCAATTGCGTCCTCCTTCAGACTGAGCCGAGCTCGCCTACTCGACATAAACGAGCCGAGTTCATGTCTCCCGTGCAGGTAGGGCACCTCTTCTGATGTGGTTGGTGGGGTCTAATAATGTGGGTCTATTATGCGTACTTCTTTATGACGTGGGGTTGCCCCATTAGAATTGATTACGAATAATAATAATAATTGGAATAAAAAACAAACATAAATATGAATAATAGTATTATTCTTCAAACACGAATAAAATTTTATAATATTCAATTCGTTTCATTCGTTTTACAATCCATAGCTAAGAGGATAAGAATTGTGAGTAGAAACAATGAAAATAGAATAGGTGTATCATTAGGATAAGTTAGTATGTATGTCAATGTTTTTAAATAGGAATAGTTAGTTTATTATTCTTAGTGGTCAATGTAAACGTACTGCTATTAATTTAGTAATCAAATTAATTATAAATAATAACTGTTATTTTGTCTCTTTCTAGTATGGAATTTGTTGGGAATGTCATCCATTAGCTAAAATTCTTGTAGAGATTGCTTTGATGATAAGATTTGAACATAAAAAGACAACTAAAGGAATAATTTTTATTTAAATTAATAGTAAAATAAAGTAATACTGGGGAGTATGGGAGAATGCACTCCACTGTTTAATAGGAGATGCAATTTTTTTTTCCTTGGAATGAGGTGAAATGGAGGAGAATCTCCACAAATGAGGTCAAATTTATTTAAATAGTATTAAAACATACGGAATAGTAACTTTCTCATTATATTATTATACTCCCTTCGTTCCTAAATATTTGTCACACTTGTATTCCCGATGCAAAATATCAAATATTTTAAATTCATTTTATTTAAATATTGGTATAAAAATAAAAAATAAAATTTATATATAAAAAAACTACATGAAAAGTTTTTCGAAATAAGATGTGTCAAGAATATTTTATTTTATCAAATAACCAATGAAAACATAGAAATAAATAAAAGTTCTCGCGACTGCTGAAAAAGCAAACGTTGCAAATAATTTGGGACGAAGGGAGTATGTTTTTATTTTTCAATGTAGGACCATTGATCATTATCTATTTGTCATTGTTCAAATAAATATCTACCGCAACTGAACAATGTTCAAATTAAATGTCCACCTTCATCGGACATTGTTCTCGGAACTAGACATTATTTAAATCTATTTAAAAATGAAAAAATTTAAGTACTACATTAAAAAATGACATATGTCTTAGTACTATTCAGTACAAATTTCACTAAATATATAGTTGAAAGCATACACAAAATTAAAAATTAAAAATTCTTTATGTTTTGTTAGGAAAAGTAAGCCTAGTTTGAGAACAATATTTTTTTAACATTAATGTTTTAGATAATTTTTTAATGGTGTAAATATATTTTAAAATACTAGCTAAAGCTTAATTCCATCGTTAAATAATTATTTTAAAACGTTAAAACTAAATGCTGGAAGTATTATCAAACAGATCGTGTAGGCTTGTGTTAAATTAAATGATTTTATAGCCAAATGTTGATTGAGAAATAGAGATAAATGTACACATTAAATCAGCTCCCCAAAACAACCCCATAGGACATGGTACAATGTGCGAGAATATATATATATATATATATATATATATATATATATATATATATATATATATATATATATATATATATATATATATATATATATAGTGCCTTTAAACAAATCGTGCAAATGAACAGTGAACATGCCCAACGGCTTTGAGTAGAAATGCCATTGCCCAAATCAAAATTTAGGTTTGATCCTTACCAATTTTTTTTTCTTTTTAAATCATCAATAATGGTGAACTTTACTATTAGAAATTGGTTATAAAAGAAAAAGAAATAATGAAACCTAACTATAACTACTCTACCTATCCCTCTTTTTTTCAATGTAATCTCTTCTTTCAGTATAGACCAAATCAAATCAAATTTTCTTTGTCACACTAAAATTATATATAGCTAAGCAAACCCTTTTCAAGTAATTTTTTGGCCGATTCTAAAGAGACATTTTTCTCCGTGTGTGTTGTCACTCCATTTCAAGTTGCAACATTTTGAAACGGACAAACTTTTCATCACATTGTAACGAATTACCCTAAGTGTACCACATTTCACACACAGACTCTTCATGTCAGCACGTATCTGTGAATGCCTGATGTACGAAGTAGATGCCAAATTTTGCATTCCCCTATTGTAACCTCTATGAGAAGTACTCACTCAATCATTTGAAACCACAGCTAAATTCTTCAACAAAACAAAAGAGTAGACGCCAAATATATGTACATAAAGGCCCCCCCCCCATACTTTTCATCAGTTTTGCAAACCTTTTGAAAAGGCCGCCCTCCCATTCCCATCCCCTTTTTCTCCACCTTTTCTACTTCCTCCGTCCCAAATTATTTGTAACATTTCTATTACCGAGGCAAAATATTAAATTTTTTCAATTCATTTTATTTACATATTAGTAAAAGAATAAAAAATAAAAATTACATATCAAAAAACTACATGAAAAGTTCTTCGAAATAAGAGGTGTCAAGAATATTTTATTTTATCAAATAACCAATGAAAACGTCAAAATAAACAAAAGTTCCTGCGACTGCTGAAAAAGCAAATGTTGTGAATATTTAAGGAGGGAGGGGGTATGTTACTATTTCTACTTACTCCTTTTGACTGTTCAAACTTTCTAAATTGCACAAAATGAAAATATCAAAAATAAAAAAAAACAGAAACAATAAATAATAAAGACTTGCACTGTTCCCATTGCATTCATGTCGAGAGTTAGCACAAAAAAATAGTACTACGTGGGAGCACAGGAAGAGACATGGTTCTGAACTTACCATTTCATCTGCTCCTTATTTTCTTGTTTCACATTTATTACTGTGTCTACAACAACAATAACTGCAAACATGGAAGAAGAAAGAAAGAAAGTTGCAAGTTTTGAAAGTTAGCTCAAATGAAGAAGACATTATTGTATTGTAGGAGGGGCAATTTTTAATCCTCTTCAACCTTTCCTTTTGAAAACAGACCACTGTTGCTTTGACTAAGTGAGTGGAACCATAGCTAATTTCTGAGACCATGCTATCCCCTTTTTCACTTTTCTTCTTTTATTTCTTTTTTTTTAATTTTTTGATCATGTATACTACTTTCGTCTCGGATACTTTATTCAGTTTAGTTATTTAAAGTCAAATTCGGTAAACATTTATCAACAATTAAATAAAAATAACATTAATATCACCATGTATTACGGAGTACAATAAAACAATTATTTTAAAGGTTTTTATAGAATAAATCTAATGAAAATATTTTAGATTGATACCTATTATAAAAGACATTCGTTGTATGTCTGTATCTATGTTAGGCATTTGGTATCAAATGCTTCGGGTCTTCTAGCATTTTTGACGTCACGATTGGGGTGTGGAGATTATAACATTCAAATATTGAAACAAAAGTTTAACCTTGACGAATTTAACTATGCTACCAGACGTCTCCTACTCCGCAAGTGCAAGTAATTTTCCATGTTGCTCCTTTGGTTACTCAACAGTTCATCCGTCCCAATACTAAACGAAAGTCTCATTTTTTTACTTTACACATTTTGAATGAAAAAGTAAAATTGTGTAAATTTTTCTATTTCACTCTTAAAAAAGTAAGAAGTTAATGAAGGTGGCCAAGAATGTGTGATTTGTAGAAAAAATGTGGGAAAAAGTACTACCTCCGTCCCAATTTATAACGCCTGTTTTGGTTTACGATGTTTGACTGAAATTATTTTCAAACCATTTTATATGACAAATGGTATAGAATTAAAAAATAAAAATTACATATTAAAAAACTACATCAAAAGATCTACAAAACTAGTATTGACAATAATATTTTATTTTATCAAATTGCTAACAAAAATAGAGAAAGAAAGTGAATGAAGTTTGACCATGTGAATAGTAAACAGGCATTATAATTTGGGACGGAGGGAGTATGAATGTTTTAATATAAGAATGTGGGGTGGGTAGAAAAAGAATGAGTGAATTAAGTATGAGTATTTTAATACTTTTAGTGTGTTAAGTATGCCAAAAATGAATCTTTAATTTTAAAATGTCAACTACTCAAAAAAAAGAAGCAAGACTTTAATATTGGGATTTGGTAGGAAGTATTGGCCATGAATTACGTACGGAGATGGAATGAATGGAGATCTAAGATGGTTGGGTGCATTGACAATGTGCATTATAGCCTTTATAGGTTATGCTAATTATGTTTAATCTTTGCAATTGACCATCCATTATTATAGGTTCATAGGCTATGCTAATTATATTCAATCTTTGGAACCAACACTTATTTAAGCTCCCATTTTGACCTTTTCTTTCAAATCTATTAAACCAAGTAGGGTGGGTCTCCCCAAGAGTACCTAACCCCATATTACAGTCATTGTTTTTTGATCATTGGATTTCAATTTGAACTTGATCCTTATTTGGTAAGTCTAGAAGATAAAAATTTTGATATATATTTCCATACAAGACAGATATAAAGTATTTGTGGATGTTTGATAGAGAGCTTGAACATTGTTTGGTTTTTTAAGGTTTGGTTTTGATATATTATGATATCACAACACTCCCAAATGAGAGTGTTTTCATATATCCCAATTTTGGGGATATCAATTCAAAAGTTTTGATATCTTCTTCAACCACCAACCACCCATTTATGTCACTAATAGTAATCATTTTCAGATTCCTCCGAAATACTACGATTTCATTTCTTAGAATCCATATCATTTTTCATATTTTAAAACTCATATAATATTAACCCTACTTCGATCACCAAACGGGCCCTTAGTTTCGAATGACCAAAAGGAAATGAAACGTAGGCTCTAAGTAATGAGTAAAAGTCGAACTTAGAGAATCAAAGAAAAATGATAACGGTATGAAATTAGGTTATATAATGAGTGAGAATTTATTTTCCTACGCGACTAGAGTCGCAGGGTAATAAATTCACACTCATTACATAAACTATTTACTAACTCATGTGCTACCCCCTAACCCCATTTCCAAACTCCTTTCCTGCACAGTGAAAATGTACAACCCATGGCATTAGTATCACACCAATAGTACCCCTTAATAACTGCAATTTGGGCTCTGGCTTATTGGTATATTGCAGTAAAAGAAGTTCACGTACGCCGCATGAGCCCCATTAAAGGTGGTGGTAAACATTTCAGTGGTACCACAATCCAGAAGCGTTTAATTCCTTTGACCTGAAAAATAAAAATGTTCATTTACAACCTTCTGCTGTAGGGCTATGGCGCCTTGGGGATGCAAATAGTAGGTTTCTTCTTCTTTTCTTTTCTTTTCTTTTTTTTTTTTTTGAAAAAAAATAAATATGGCCAGGGAACTCACCTTGAAATTTGTCATCCACATGTGTGCTTGCAAGAATTCAAACTCCTGCAATAGAAAGCTAAGGTGTTTGCTATAAAGGTAATAGAACCAAACACAGGGAACAACAAGTATAGGCCCAGTTTGGCATTGGTGTTGCTCTTAAGCCACAATATTTTTTTGCCCCAAAAGTTCGGTAAAATTTAAAAAGTGCTGGGAAAGTACAATTTTAAAACGACGTGAATCCTACAACAGTCAAAGGATGCTTTTAATTACAAAACCCATGACTAAATATGATTTTGTTTTAAATTATGACAATTCTGTAGCATAAGGAATGAATGAATGAATGATACAAAGTACGGAGTACAATTTTTTCACTTTTGGACTGAGCAAATTTACCTTTTTCATGCCTGCGTGAGATAAAAAAAGAGCAAGTTTCAATTTCTACCATCCACGTCAAAACCGGCACCGGTCCAACCATGTGTTGCCGAACTTCTACCCTTTGGTACTGCACCAATTCCCCTTCCTCTTCCATTGACAATTGATTTCTTCTTTGAGCTTCCCTCACTGTCAGTTGAAGATTGTTGTTGGTTGTGGCTGTTTGGCGAGGCGAGATTTCCAGAAATTTGTTCCTTGGATGAATTTGCACACGATTCAGGTGTATTAGGAATAACAGAAGCATCTTGAGTTGCTTGAGTTGCATTGATCTGGGGAGTTCCTGCTGGACTCTTATCCTAAAGGTGTACATCATATAACAAATTGGTAAAAGACTAAAAGCACAAATTCGATGCTTTTGGATTATGCGATTGGTGATTGACAATTTCTTACACCACAATAAGTGTTTAACTTGCCAAACATAAAGCCAAATGACTTTTAAATTTTACAGCACAAACCCAAGTGCTTAATAAAAAAATCAATTGCAATGACAAACAGGCCCTATACGTGATTCGATACAGGGGAAAGAACATAGATGTAGCAGAACAAAGATACAAGGAAGTTTTAAAAAGAAGGCAATATGTTTAGTAAGCCCCAATTGACAAGATACACGAGAGTCTTGAATGTATGAGTACTCTCAAGATGCTTGCTTAAGCAGCAGATAGGTGTGATCATATGACAATTATAACCATTTGATTATGCTAAATAGAGCCATTTGCTTACTTATTGAACATAACCTCCAAACATAAATGAAGAAGAAGAAGAAGCCAGTTGAATCCCACAAGAGTAGGGTCTGGGGAGGGTGTTGGGGAGGGTGTCTGTATGTAAACCTTACCCCTACTCGAAAGTAGAGAGAATGTTTCCAAAGAGACCCCCTTACCTCAGCGTCGAAAGTTGCATTGATTGACTAACTGCTGCTTCATTAATTAAAGAAGCGCAGACAGTTTAGAGATTCATTTCACCTTATTCCATCACACCCCAAAGCCAAAAATTAGTGAATTTTGTGCTCCATTGAAGATGATGGAAATATAAATGAAGAAGAAATATCCCTTAAGATACATAGTAAAAAGCATCACCACCACCACCACTATATGGCAATTATGTGGGGGCCTGGTGGCTTAAAATTTATAGGGAAAATTAATTATCTAAATTACTTAACACTATACATTCATGCAAAAATACATTATCAGAAAGATATGAAATTTCAAACCGCCACCATCACACTTTTTCTACTAGCAAGGAAAATATCATGATATGGTGAATAGTATAAATACTCCCTCCATCCCTAAATAAACTTCCCCTTTCGTTTTTTCTTTGTCCCCAAATAAACTTCTCTTTTCCGGGTTTTCCCTCAAAAAACCCCTTTTACCCCTTACTTTTTCATACCCTACCTATCAGATCATACCTTTTTACTAATAATCTACATATCACATCTTACTTTTACACATCACATCAAGGGTATTTTTGGAAAGTCAACACAAAAATATCCCTCCCTTAAATCCTAAAAAAGTCAAAAAGGGAAGTTTATTTAGGGACGGAGGGAGTATATTCTATAGTCATGTCCCATTCATAAGATATTGTAAAATAAGACTGTAGAATACAGAAAAATTGCTAAAACGAATACTCATCAGAAAAAAGGGAAATTAGTGAAATGTCTAAACATTAATATCGGTGCATGCAGACAATTGATAGGGGAGAAATGTAAGAATGTCTTACATAAGGGATTGAAGTGTGTGATTTGCTTGGGTTTAAAGCCTCTAACCGCCTCTTTAGCTCTTCCAATCTTGCAAACTGGGTGTTATTACTTTCTTGAACCTGCAAAAGGAGTTTTTATGTTTTTGTCCAAGGAAGATAAGATATACTCATATACACCTAACTGCAAGAGGAAATAACATAGAAGATGGATACCAGATTATTTAGATCTTCACAAAGCTTCTGTTTTATAGCTTCCTCATCCTTTACAGCTTGTTTTGCTGCTTCCCATTCCTGCAAATCAGAACTAATCATTAAGCAAGAATACAGATGGAAAGATAGAGACTACCCTGACCATCTAGTTGTCTCATTTATTTATTCTCACTTTTTAGTATGTTCTCATATTTATTTTCTATTAGTTTCTTTTGAAATGTTAAAGTGCATGTGTAGCCATATTTAATTTTATCTTACTAGCTTTCATTACCAACTGTGAATATGAGAACATGAAAAGAAGCGAAAGAAAGGTAAAAGTACAACAAAAACCTTGCGTGCTTGTTCTTCCTTCAGCTTGGCAACATGAATTCGCTCAGTTGTCAATTCTATTTTCTTTCTCAGGTGTTCAAGTGCTGAAATAACATTCACACATTAGAAGGACAGAAATTTTAAATTCATAATATAATAGTACTAAACTCAACAACAAATAAAAATACGGAGTATTTGCCAAGACAAGGACCTGCTTTCTTGGGCCCTGCGGTAAGTTTCATCTCCATTGTAAGATTTGTCAATTCACGTTCAACATCACGAATCTTGGAATAATTTTCTTCGATATATCTGAAAAGACAGAAAATAGAAGATTAAAAAATTGAAACAGAAAATTGAATAGGTATTAACATATGGGCAAATAATATGACATTTAACTTGTCTCATATTCCGATTATAATAGAAGTGTCTAAATTATACATAAAATGATGTGTTTCCACATAAAAGGGAAACATTGAGAACCTAAAACAAAATAAGGCAAGTACCATGCAAATATCTGAAAGTTTCCCCAAGGAAATAAAGAAAACAGAACAAATACACCAACGCTCATAATTTGCTTCCTCCCCCCTTCCAAAACTATTGAAATCCATAAAATTTCACAAGCATAATATCATCAGGCACATAATTTTGAACATAGCGTTATGAGGCAGGTTGGCTTCATAGCCTTAGCTTTTATCCATTTTGATGGGTTTAGCCATTAACGCTTTGTCTCAGACATAAAATTTTTCATTTACTTTTCAACATGCTTTATCTAACAGTAACATTTGGGAGATACATGACTTGTTTCTGCATTCAGCACCTTTGCAGGCACTTAGTGGGAAGGGTCAACCTGATTCACTGATTAATGAATAGAATCCTATTCTATGTGCTGGATGAGTTAATCAAAGACAACTGAAGAGCTCACAGAGGGTTTGTAAGAAACTATTTAAGCATTGTATTTGCCAATTGAATGTAAGTTTGGAATTTATCATAAGTTAGTTTTGGAGATGTAATAAACGAACTTCTCAAAGCTTCTTTTCTTCCAAATTCTGTGTTTTTTTTATTTGCAGTGCACGTCCCAGCCACGCATCTCCATTGAGCCAAAACCCCAGAAGGAACACCCTATGGTGTTGTTTGGTCTGTCCAATGTCCCGCCAATTTTTCAAGCACTTATGAATGAAATCTTAATATTCAGTTTTTTAAATGATAAATTGATTTATAGGACTTGCGTGGAACACTTGCAAAACATCCAGTTAGTGTATAAATTATTGTGCACTATTACCTTTATTATTGAAAAAGGAAATGTGCGTGTTTGGAGAAATACAGGTTGCATATCATGGTCATGTCATTTCGGGAGAAGGAAGCAATGGATGTTACTAAAGTCCCAAAAACCCCAAGTACGTTGAAGGTGATTTTGGAGCTCGCGAGATTCTACCTACGTTTCATAAAAGAATAGATTGATGGCCTCCTCATTGACAAATCTTCTGAAAAAACAGTCGTTTAGTTGAATGCATGACGCTATTAAGGCATTTGAAGCTGACGCAGTAGGAAACCCGAAAGACAAGCAAACGCGAGTCTTTGTCAACGGAGATCCGCAAGCGCGAAGCTCTAGAGTAATAAACTGGAAGTCCACCAGAATGTAAGAGAAAAATCTGAGTAAATAAAAAACAATTCTGTGTTCTCAGGATTACATATGAGTATTTATAGGGAAAACCTATAATACGAATAGGAATATAGCAACAAAAAGAAGAAAAAAATTACAAAAATTTTAAAATACTATTCTAGGCTCAGAAACAACTTTGCGGCAAGATCGTCTTCTAAGCGTGCGGACAACCTGCCTACATCAGAAGCACATAAAATAACCCTGTCCTTTGTTCCAGTACCGCAACTACCCAATTTTTTTGGTCTTGAAAGTGGTGGAATGTGATGAATCAGGTTTAGAAATTAGATTCGTGCTACAACTTTACAGCCTTAAATACCTTCTGCAGCAGCGACTAACTACTTCCACAGTAACATTCGAGCTCTTGGGATTTTATTTTCGGGTGGAATTCAAGCCCAGGAAAAGAAATGAACGCAACAGCAAGCACATTGTCTCGCTAAATGAAAATACATGCTATAAGCCTAGCACTTTACTCTACAAAGTGGTCAGCAGCCCAGCAGTTCTGCAATTACACATAAGCCTAACAGAAACTCTTACATTACTAAATGCAAATACATGAAACTCCATTCATTTCATAGAGCTTTCGGACCGTAGTAGCCATCATAAAATGTCAGGAAATGAGCAATGAATAAGAAAGTGTTTGAATATACAAGGGTGTTTTTAAAAAATGGCCTAAAAGCAAACAGTGTAAGATTGATAATTGAGTAAAATGGTGCCACAATGTCTTATCGTATATGGATGTAGTTCATCTTTTAGGTGACAAAGTTAATGCAACTTCCCAAAATAGAAAATGCCACAAACAAAATAGGAGGAACTGAGGAAGGGAGTATAAAATTCAAGTATCTTGACAGTAAGTAATATATACATCGTGTCCTTATCTCAAAAAAAAATATTCTTGTTCCCGCCAGCAGTTAATGTATGATACTGGCATGTGTGACTTACATTATGTGCAATGTATATGAGGTTAGGACAAAGAAAAAAATTTCCTACTAGCTCTACTTGTTTTTTAACAGCCCGTTGGCCGTTACAAAATTCAGTTAATTTAGTTAATGAACTTACTTAAACATGGGTCTCCATTATTAAAAATGTCAAGCATTCACAAGCTAAAGAGTGGGCTAGATGACAAATCGTATCCTAAGTTCATCAGATAGTCATCAGATAGTGGTTTGAAGTGACTGGTAGAGATAGGCATCAGCCTGCCAAGCGCTAGTACAAACTTTTAAATGAGGCAACACCCATTCAAAATTTCTAATGGGAATATGCCCTGGATAGATACAGCTGATTTCATACAGATAACCCAAATCTATCTCATATGGAGTACAATAGATTTCACACAAATATCCCAAGGAGGACAACAACGAGCAACTCATGCAATAACATTGAATCAACTTAATGCAATACAAGCAAATCAATAGAAGCAGAAAGGCAATGAATGGATCTAAAAGACCTGAAGATTAATTAGGAAGTCGCACTTACTTCCTCAAATGAAGTTTCTCTTCCTCAATGAGCTGAAACAGGGAACTCGAATGTCATAATCGTGAAAAATGCTTCCGCTGGCAATTCTAGGCGAGTAAATTCATACGCATATGCACACAGAGAGAATGAGAGAGAGAAGACCTTTTCGGTGTAGGCGATGACGGGGGATTCTCTGGCGATGCCATCGGGACCAATCTCCGGCAGCAGGAGAGGCTTGACCGTAGCGCCGGAGTAGGGATCCGGATTCGTATTAGCAGCCATTACAGTACCGATTAGCTTAATTCCGGTGAGAAATCGAGATCAGTGAGTCGGCAATCGGCGACCCCGGGAGAAAATGCGTGCGAAAACGTCGTTTCCGATTGGTTTCAGGCATCAAGCGTCGCATTTACTCTTTTTTTTGCCTCTCAGCATTTTATGAATTTTATGGGCGTTTTTGGGAATGAAGTTTTCGATTAATTTTACTATTTTGGATAAAATTTTAACGATATAAATTAATTTTGAAAATAATAACGCTAAACGTTGCTGGTAAATAGTCTTTCCAAAACACTGACGCTAACGTCTAATGCTTTTCTCAGACAAGCCCATGAAGTATTTTGTGATGCGATTGTTCCTATTGTCTTTAAATTATTTTTTCAACTTCTTAGGATTATGTTATGAATTTATCACAGTATCCCTACGGATGATACTCACGAGTTATTTTATTTATACACAAACAATAACATCTATGTTTACCAATATTTATGATATGTATATGTATAAATTATCCGTGATTGTCATCCGCAAGAGCACTTAGGTGAGTTTCTAACATTTTTTTATTTAGTTAAGCGCAAATAATTTGACTACAATTTAGTATTTTCTATTTTATTAAAGCACACAAATTTAATCATATACTCCGAGATACTTTTTAATTTTTTATTATGCTCTATAAATCGTGTATAAAAATCAAGATTTATAGTATTCCTATACAGAATATATTTTTAAACCATGGTTTTACTTTCAATAGGATTGCTTAACGTTTTTTCAATCTTATTTCTTTATTTTTCTTTGACACTTATAAGCATTTGGTATGCATTTTTAAATGATGTAAAATTTGGAAAACTAGAGGCATTCACATTTTTTTCCCAAGTTCTTTCTTAAAATTTTTAACTTTTAGTTATAGCCAGTAATGTTGATGGATATACAAATCTAAACATGATGCTTTGGTTGATCATACTACTCATATTGTTTCCGGAGTATATAGATTTTTTTTCTTCAAAATTTGTAATTTAGACTTCTATTAGTTCAATACTTTGTTCTATGAAGTTTCTTACCAATTATATTCCATACTGCATTTATATTTAATGTTATATTTTAATTTCGATTTAGACAATATTTATTTTACAAATCTAGTTTCTTTTTAAATTAGCATGTCCGTGTTTCATATTATTTTTCTCTTCAAAATAAATTTTAACTTTTTTTTTAGGTTTTTCCCCTTAAACCCAAACATGTGTAGCTAGAATTCAACACCATCACACAAATCAGATTCTTTACACAAAGAAGAGCTTATGCTATTTCAATTACAAACAAGAAGAAGAAAAACCAATAACAAACACTTTAAACCAGTAGAGAACTAAAAAAAAAGAATTACTGTACTACAATGTATGTTGATGCATGCATGAAATTGATTGACTTCCAAATGGTACACACACTACTATACTTGCAAACAAGACCACAATTGTCTTCCATGCCCCCACAGACTATCAGGTATGGTTAACTAACCATGGTTAGTAACAGATGCCTCTGAGATAAAGCGCGAGATCGCGTCTTTAGTGGGTAGGGCAGGTATGGCTCCCCGTTGGGTTACCGTGAGTGCAGCACAGGCATTAGCAAAGAACAGTGCTTCTCTTAATCGCCTCTCGTCCTGCCCCAAAAACATATGGTAATAAATCAGATTGTGTGATAATGACAGATTAATTAATGCCTCTGCTTCCATTAGAGAGATTCCCACTCTTTACTTACCTGATAGAGGTTAATGTCAGAAGCTAAATTTGTGAGTAACCCTCCCACAAATGAATCTCCAGCCCCAGTTGTATCTACTGCTTTTACTTCAATACTATTCACTCTTCCCTTAAATTCCTGTGAAATCCCATAAAAGGCAAAGATTAAGAATAACACAAATATAATGAGACTGTTTCTGATAGACACTTGATGCATTGCTGCATTTACTACCCTAAACTAAACTTCATTGAAAGTAAGAAGCAACGAAAGATTAATGTGCTATGTTTTGATTTAGTGCTGTTTAGACATCATGCCTTTGTGTAGTATCTGCAACCTGCAGACCCTTCTGTAACTTACTCCTCTTCCTCTAATCCTACTTTCTCGAAGAAGTAGTGGTGTAGTAGTAGTATACCTAGCAGAGGAGGTCATTCTTTACTTTAAAGAAGGAGCGAATAGATTTACTTGTAGCAGTTTTTCCCGTCAATTCATTTTTTCGGTTGTGTGATTTTTAGTAAAGAAATGTGTAGTAATAATATGGGTGAAACCAAGGGTTGACATTGGGAACCAATGTCATGGGATGACCCGGGGGCGCTCCGGTGCCCCGTTCGTAAAATTGACGGTTCCTACCCCCCCTAACCCCCCCGATAAACCCCTTCACCCCGCCCCGACCCGAACGCACCCCCCCGATTTTGACTCCAAAGTCAAAATCAACTTGTGGGGTGCAATTGAAGGGGGTGGGGGGGTGCGTTCGGGTCGGGGCGGGGTGAGAGGGTTTATCGGGGGGTTAGGGGGGGTAGGAACCGTCAATTTTACGAACGGGGCACCGGAGCGCCCCCGGGTCATCCCATGACATTGGTTCCCAATGTCATGGGAACCTTGCCCTATTATACCTTAATGATGTGTGCTTCATCCCATATACTCATAATCCCACTTCGGGCTGCTTCTTCAGAAGGCCACAGAGGCAGCCTTAAGTTGGGATCATAAGAGAGTAGAGAGCCGGATTTTTTGGCAGCAGCCATTGCAGCAAGGTGTGTTGATCTGCAGGGTTCGCCGATCAAACTGATGGAACCGTAGTGGAAAATGACAGACTTGTTTATGAGATCAATGTCCAGTTCTGACTCATGAAGAAGCATATCGGCACTTGGATTTCGAAAGAAGAGAAATTCCCTTTCGCCCTCTGCAGTTAGAGTCACAAATGCAAGTGCAGTTCTTGCATTTTGGTCAAACCTCACGCCCGAGTTGTCAACTTTGTGCTGTTCCAGTATACCATCCAGCATTCGCCCAAACTCATCGTCACCCACCTAAACACACACATAAGTTCTTTATTGTTGTTCAAAGTCATTCTATATATTCATCTCTGTTAAATACAAACTAAGAAATCCAAATACTCCGTATATGTTAATCTAGAAAGAAAGAAAAAAATCAGTTTTATGTCTGGATCCCAGGAAATGCTATGGATATAATATATGAAATAAAATTTTGGTTTATCTAAGAACCAAAGATTAAAGCATTACTTTTCTTGGCATTTTCCCCATTCCCAACCATTTTGTGTTTCAACCATAGCCTTCTTATTTTGGAAAGTTAGCAAAATCAATAAACACAGCATCATTTAAACACACATAAGCAGCCAGAGAATCTGAAATTTCAATGTGTCAAGTGGGATCCAATTTTTTGGCCATAAAAAAGGGGAGAAAGAAACCTTTCCAATAAATGCAGAAGAACCACCCAACTTTGAAACACAAACAGCAACATTAGCAGGTGCACCACCGGGAGCTTTTTGGAAGGCCGGAGCTTCAGCAAGAGAAACTCCACTGACCGTTGGAACAAAGTCGATCAACATCTCCCCAAAACATACAACTAGATGCTGACTCTTGTCTGCAGCTTTTCCATTACTGGTTAAGGACAGGTTCTTGAAGTCTACAAACATCACCAACATTATTCTGATCAGCTAAGTAAACACTACATTACACATATGAAGGGTGAGTAGTATACATTACTGGTATTCCACCAAAAATGTATACAGAAGCTTGCAGATGTTAAACCTACCATCTACCAACATTTTTTTACCCCATGTAAATAGATTTTAACAGAGGATCTTCCGAAACCCCATATACGCTAAGACATATTTCTTGAATCATCAATTTCTTGTGCCATAATCGCAAGACAAAGACAATAAGAATCAAGATTGAAAAACTTAGAGACACCCATCATTCTATCAAGGTATCTTTTTTTCTTCTTCTCTTTGATGAGAAATATAAACAATAATAATCAGAAATCTGAAACAGGCTCGCAATTCCAATAAAGACGCAAAATAAGCTGCACTAACAAGAACCCAGAAAGTTTCAATCTTCAACCACGATCCAAAAAGAGAAATGGATAAATAAGCTGAAAATTCAATAGACCCCC